ACACAGGTGCAATTTGAACTGGGGAAGGGAAGATGGGATTTAACTCCCCAACTCCTGCTCCCTTTCACTAATTAAAATTGGCCTCCCTGTGTTATTATTAACAGTTTCAAAGGGAAACAGACCTGTGTTTTTAAATGCTGTCTTCTCTCCTGTTACAGTAATAACAACAGTGCAGGAATCTCACTTCCCATTAGTTGAAGGGTTAAATTCCCTCTTTCAGGCAGCAGCCAGTTGCTGTTTTCATCCAAAGGCTGCAGTTGGAGCCACTCTCCAAATTGGAATAAAATATTTTGTGATTTGACTGCACAAGTCTGTGTTGTGCTCTGGATCTTGATATATTGTGCTGTTCTGTCAACCAGGGTTGCCAATTCCAGGCCAGGAAATTCCTGGAGATTTGGGTGCACAGTGTGGGAAGAGAGCAGAGGGAACTCAGCAGGGATGTGAGGCCAGATTCCACCCTCCAAATCTGCTTTCTGCTCCAAGGGAACTGATTTTTGTGGTGTGGAAACCAGTTGCAATTCTGGGAGAACTCCTGGCCACACCTGGAGGATGGCCACCCCCTACTGGCAACACAGCAGTGCCCTTCATGGTGCACACAGTGTTAATAGCCACATAATCTGAATGTGATGCGGTGTGGTGTAAGGGTTGGAGCGGTGGACTAGTTTCTGGGAAACTGCACTTCAAAGTGCCACACTGCCAAGAAGCTTGTGGGCTGGTCACTCTTTTTCTCCCATCCTGCCTAACCTACTCGGGGTTTTCAAGGCAAGAGATGAGCAGAGGTGGTTGGCCGTTGCCTGCCTCTGCATAGCAACCCTGGACTTCCTTGGTGGTCTCCCATCCAAGTACTAACCAGGGCTGACCCTGCTCAGCTTCCTAGATGTGACAGGAACAACAGTTGTCAGTATATGAAACGGCGATGAAAGAAAGTCGCACCTTTAAGCTGATAGGGGCTGTGGTCACACCGGCATGGTAATAGCGCTTTGTTCCTGCTTTAATTTAATTGGGGACACTTTTCTTCGGGTTGGACTGGTTAGATGCAGCCGGCCCCTCTCTTCCACCACCCGCTCGCCTGCCAGCTCCTAAGGAAAATCAGCCGTCTTCCTCTGGCTATCCTTTTTTGCATTACCCGTGTTGATGCCTTGGCTAAATTGTCCTTGACAGCTCCAGCAAGCCCCGGAGGGGCGGGAAAAGGAAGACTGGACTGGCCGAGAGGCTACTGCACTCAGCTCAGCTCGTCGGGGCTGTGGCGGAGCTTTCACCCCGCCGAGTCCCTCCAGGCGATCCTGCCAGCCACGGGGCAGGCTCCGGCGGCTGCTGCTCCTGCCGCCGCTGTGGGGGGTGGTGCCGCTGCTGCTGCCACCATTGCCCCACGAAAAAAGGCTCAGCCCCGACCTCTCCGCCATCCTCCTTGCCGGCCCCCCCCTCCAGGCTGCCGGAGCCCCCCAGCCTCCAGGGTGCTGCAAGCTCTGACAGTTCCTGGGGAAGGGGCTTCTGTTTCTTACAGCAAATTCATATTATCTTTAAACAGAGAAATGAAAATAAAATAACGTTTAATAATGGATTTACTAAGCACATGTTTACTCAAGCGCTCAAACCGGAAGCTTTTTTTTAAAAAATCGCACAAAGAGCGGTCAGACGGCCCTAATCGCAATCATTGCGAAAGATGGCTGTCCAGATGGGCGAAATCGTGCATTCAAAGGGCAAGTGCCAGAAAAATACTTTATTTTCCAGGGGGCAGGAAAAACCGGAACAATTGCGGGAGTAAGCCTGCTTCGGCACGGGAGGCGGATCGGCACACGTGAACGGGAAATTTAAATGCGCGAGGGAAAAGCGGCGAACCCCGATCAAAAGGACCGTGTGACCTCACCCAGGAACACGCTAAATAATCTACTTTCAATGCACTTTCCAATTGGATTTTGCCAGTTCATACACGGTAAAATCCAGTTGGAAAGTGCACTGAAAGTGGATTGAAAGTGGATTATTTAGTGTGTGTAACCGCAGCCTCAATGAATTATGGGATGGGAAAGGATAGTGCACACATAAGCAGGAGCTTTTAAACCAAGACATAACACCTTTCTGTCCCTTTGCTAGGGGCATGGGTAAGCCCACACCAAAAGCGGCATCAACTTTCCCAGCCAGCCTCCTATCTATCTATCGGAAGGGGGCCAACTCCAATGCCAATGCTGCCAGTCTAGACGTGAACTGTTTTCCCCCCTACAATTCTTCCCAAAGCAACAAGGCATTATTAAAGAGGAGTGGGTGGGGGAGCAGAGGGAGGTTAGAAGAAAGTAATGCAAAAATCATAGAATCAGAAAAAATAAAGAGATAAACAAGCAACTTTGAAAAGAGAAAAAATAAGAGAAAAGAAGTCAGTAAATGGAGAATCAGTTGTTGATCTAGAATGACACTTAAAAAAAAGAAAAATGAAGAAGACGGTTACAGAGGAAAGCGTACAGAATTACAGAAGACGACACTGGAAAAAGAGACTAAAAGATATTAAAATAAGAGGGGGGAAAGGGAGCATAACAAAGATTTTTAAAAAGGAGGAGGGCGCAGGAAAAGTATGCAGTGTCACAGAAATACACTAAGAAAAAGTGTCATCCCAAAAAGTCTAGAGAGAGAGAGAGAGAAAAAGAAAACATACAATCACAAACAAAAAAAAAGAACAAAGTTTGGGTCCAGGGGCACCTTTAAGACCAGCAAAATTTTAGTCTGGGTATAACCTTTTGTGTGCATGCACACTTAATCAGATACACTGAAACAGACTTCTTCAAGTCTTACATACAGGTAGAAAAGGGGGTGGTTGGTTGCCAGGAAGGGCTAGTCAGAGTCAAGACACATAACATAACTGAACAATAAAGGTAAAGTTTTCCCTTGCTCGAAAACCAGTCGAATCCGACTCTAGGGGTGCAGTGCTCATCTCCGTTTCCAAGCCGAAGAGCCAGCGCTGTCTGAAGACATTTCCGTGGTCATGTGGCCGGCATGAATAGATGCCAAGGCTCACGGAACACTGTTACCTTCCCACCAAAGCAGTACCTATTTATCTACTTGCAATTTCCTGCTTTCGTAGTGCTAGGTTGGCAGGAGCTGGGGCCAGAGACGGGAGCTCACTCCATCACGCGGCACTTGGATCTTGAACTGCTGAACTACTGACCTTCCAGTTTGCAGTTCAGCGTCTTAATCACTGAGCCACTGCAGCCCCCTAACTGAGCAATAGGTACAGCTAAAATTGGATTAAAGCAGAGGCCTCACGTCTGTTCATTAAACTTTTATTTGTATGCCAATTTGCTGCTATTCACAGGTCTTAAAAGTAAAGGTAAAGGGTCCCTTGCTAGAAAGCCAGTTGAATCCGACCCTAGGGGTGCGGTGCTCATCTCCGTTTCAAAACCTACTTGCAATACCTATTTATCTACTTGCAATTTCTTGCTTTCGAACTGCTAGGTTGGCAGGAGCTGGAACTAGAGACGGGAGCTCACTCCGTCATGCGGTACACTCGGGTCTCGAACTGCTGAGCTACCAACCTTCCACAGCCTGCAGTTCAGCATCCTAACCACTTGAGCCACCGCAGCTCCTTCACAGGTCTTACCAACTGCTTTAATCCAATCTTATCTATACTTATTAATTGCTCAGTTACTTATACCTGGCAACCACACACGTGTTGCCAGCTGCAGCTTGAGAAATACCTGGACATTTTGGGGGGGGAGCCTGAGAAGGGTGGGGCATAATGCCATGGAGTCTGCCTTCCAAAGCAGCTGTTTTCTCCAGGCGAAATAATTTCTGTCACCTGGAGAGCAGCTGTAATCCCAGGAGATCTCCAGCTACCATCTGAAGGCTGGCAACCCTACACACACATCCACTTATATCGATCCAGCTGCTCAGCCCTGTTGGTCTGAAGCAGTAGAACAAATGTAGAGTCCAGGGGCACCTTTAAGACCAACAAAGGTTCATTCAAAGTATGAGCTCTCCTCTGCATGCAACACCTTTCCCAATACATTAGAACGGCAGGCTCATAGCCAGAGAATGAACAGCTATAAGCAGGGGTCATTTCCTGCAGGAGCGCACAGGAGCGGAGCTCCGGCAGTAAGGAGCCCAGGGGGCGGGCACATGCAACAAGCCCCGCCCCCTGCTCCCAGCAGCCCTCAGTTGGGCCACAAGGAGCAAGAAGCAGCCAGGTAAATTGCAGAGCCCCTCCCACCCCTGCCCCTTCAGGTACAAGCTCTCCCTCCTCTGTGAGGGTCTGGGGGGGCAAGACTCGCCCGTTCCCCCCCCCCCCCCCCAATGGCTAGCAATCCAAAACAGTCCAGTGGAGTCTGAGCCTTGGGTGTTGCCTTCTGACACACTTCCGGTGATGCAAATGAGTTATGCTAATGAGTTATCCTAATGAGCTCCTGCACATCTTTTTCTAAGAAATGACCCCTGGCTATAAGCAATGCTCCCTCTAAGCTGTGGAGCCTTGTGAGCAAAAATTCTGCTTTGTGAGCGACTGGCATTAAAGTCGTGAGCGAGCGATTTGGCTGCTGCATGAATCAGTTTGCTCTGGAGCCCTCCTTCCTGAGCGAAGACAAAAACGTGTGAGCCGGAGGCTAAAAAACTGTGAGCGAGCTCACTCTAACTCAGCTTAGAGGGAACACTGGCTATAAGTCTGGCTATGAGTCTGAACCTTGCCTGCCATTCTAATGTATTTGATGAAGTGCGCATGCACGCGAAAGCTCATCCCTTGAGTCTACTTCTATGTAAGGGCTGAGGAAGTCTGTCTCAATGTCTCCGGTGAAGCGTGCGCATCATGCACAGGAAAGCTTCCACCCAGAATGAAACTTTCTTGGTCTTAAAGGTGCCCCTTAAAGGACTCCAACGCTGTCCTGCTGCTTCAGACCAACGCGCCTACCCAACTGAACCTAGACACGGGGGCTTTTGCCATACAGTGTGGAGCGCCACCCTCCCGCAGCCAGCCCCCTCCGCCGGCCGGCTTTATAACGGAAGTCCCACCCACCCTGTGCTTTTTCTATTGCGCTACTTCCGCTCCTGGGCTGCCATCTTGCTGTTCCGCCGCCTGGGCAAGGAGACCGAGAGAGTCGCCGCTGCTGCCGTCATGTCCTTGCAGCTGCTGAGGAAGGGGCTGCGGCTGCCCAGCTTGGCCGCCCGCCCGGCCAGGCGCAGCTCTTCCAACCCTCCCCAAAACCCCGTCGGGCCGCTGGTGAGGCCGTCGTGATAGTGGCGGTGATGATGGGGCAAAAGACCGGGATGGGGGGATTGGATGGGGGGCAGGGAAATAGGCTTGGCGTGGTTGGGGAAGCCCGAAGACGGCGTGGAGTGGTAGGGAGGGCTGAGCTTGAGTTCCAGTCGCCTCGTCTTCCCCACTCTGGCACTCTCCGGGTGACCTTGGGCCGTTCGCTGTCCTACCTCGAAGGGTTGTTGGAGGAGGAGGGGCAAGTCTTTATGCCTCGCTGAGCGTCTTGGAGGGAAGGTGGAACAAAAAAAGTACTGACAACAGG